ACTGGAAATGAAGAAAGACAAAAACAGAATAAGAGAAGAAAACAAAACAAAGAAACAAAAACAAGAAAAAAGAAATGCCCCTAGGGATGTCCCTGCGCGTCTGCGCAGAGTAAGGGAGTAGCTTCCAAGCCGTGCAGTACTGCCACCCTAAAAGGGGCTCCCAAGCTGAGAAAAGAAAAAGAAAACAAACAAACAAATCAGAGCAAACAAACAAAAGGCCCCGGGGGTCCTACCAGGGTGGCGGCACAAGCCAGGAAGCAGTTTCACAGTCAAGCGGTGTTTCACAGCCTTTCAGGAAGGAGCAAAGATGGCACATGGAGCCAGGTATCTGACAGAAAGGGGGCGGGAGGTGGTGAGAGATCAGGAAGAAATCTAAGGAAGTGGAAAAAAGGAACAGCAGCAGCCAACAAATGGCACTCAGGGAGGTGGGCAGGTGGAATCCAAGCAACACCAGGGTAAAGCTGGTGCTTCCCAGCTAAAAGACCGTGGCCACGGGAAGCAGAGGAGGCCGAGTGAGGGTGAAGAAGGGTGGGGTCAGGAAAGCATATATCGCTGGTTACAGGTTGTTCTGTCTCCTGCTGGAAGTTCCTTGAAGCTGCTTTCTCATACCCTCCGTTTGTTGATCTCCGATAGGAGTCCAAGATGGCGGATCCGTGCTGCAGTAGCTGATAGTGGACCTCTGCAGGTATCTCCCCTCGCTCTCTGTTCTCGGTCAGTTTCTTACTCCATTCGGTGCTTGGCTGAGTTCTTTATCTCTTCATTTGATGCTCAGGGTTTCAGGACTGATGTGTGACTCTGTCTGACTTAGTTTTTCGGATCTTTGCTGCAGAGGGACAGCATGGTGCTTCTGACTATAGTCCTGTTGCCTGGAAGTCCTGGTTATAGCATATTTTGACCAAAACCTATTTTTTTTACCAACCTGATGGCAGCAGAGTTTGACCAGGAGGAACCTCAGAGCACCTTTCTTTCCAGCCCATTAGCCTAAAATTAGGGTATGGGAAACATCAAACTGACTGACTGTCGTGTGACAAAAATGTGTCTCTTTTCATCTTCAACCCTCTGAGGTGGTGTTAGTACAGGTGAAGAAACTACCACCTCAGAGCAATAAGTGGGAAGGCATTACACAGCAGAACTGTTGTTGCTGTGTGCCGTCAAGTCGATTCCGACTCATAGTGACCCTATAGGACAGAGCAGAACTGCACCCTAAGGTTTCCTAGGCTGCAAATCTTTATGGGAGCAGATCACCAGGTCTTTTCTCCCATGAAGCTACTGGTGGGTTCAAACCCCAAACCTTTCAGGTAGCAGCTGAGCAGTTAACCATTGTGCCACCAGGGCTCCTTAGCATGACCTATAAAATCCCAAGTGAGAGTAAAAAATGACAAAGTGACATAAGGCAAAAAAGAAAAACAAACAACTAATTAGCTGGTTAAGTCTCTGCCTCTGAGGTTGCAGCATTAAGAGAGCCTTTGAAAATGGGAATTAAAAGGCTAAACAACCCACAACAAGGGAAGAGAGTGATTAGTAATCAAAAACCTCCCAATAAAGGGAAGTCCAGGACGATGGCCTCGCTGAGAAATTCTACCAAACATTTAAAAAGAATTGATATCAATCTTTTTCAAACTCTTTCAAAAAATACCAGAGGAGGGAACACTTCTTAACTCATTCTATAAAACCAGCATTACCCTGATACCAAAGCTAGACAGGGATGCCACAAGAAAACTACAAACCAATATCCTTTGAGAATATATAGACACAAAAATCCTCAACACAATACTGTAATAGCAAATCACATCCGGCAGCATATTAAAAGAAAATTATACATCATAACCAAGTGGGATTTATCCTAGAAATGGAAGGGCGGTTCAACATTTTAAGAAAATTAATCAGTGTAATAAACCACATAAATAGAATGAACATGATCATCTCAAGTGATGCAGAAAATACAACTAAGAAACACTCAACAAATTAGGAATAGAATGAAAATGTCTCAATATAATAAGGGGCATTTACGAAAAAACAAGACTAACATCATATTTAATGGTGAAAGACTGAAAGCTTTGCCTCTAAGATCAGGACTAAGACAAGGATGCCTGCTCTCACCACTGCTATTCGACACTGTACTGGAAGTTCTAGCCAGAGCAGTTAGGCAAGAAAAAGAAATAAAAGGTATCCAAATCGAAAAAGAAGTAACACTATCTCTACTCACAGATGACATAATTCTATGTATAGAAAACTTCCAAGAATCCAGAAGAAAGCTACTAGAACTAATAAATTCAGCAAAGTGGCAGGGTACAATATCCAACACAAAAAACAGTTGTGTTTCTATAAACTAGCAATGAATAATCTGAAAAGGAAATAAAGAAAACAATTCCATTTACAGGAGCATCTAAAAGAAGAAAATACCTAGGAATAAATTTAACAGGGAGGTGGAAGACTTATACACTATAAAACAATGCTAAAAGAAATTAAAGAAGACATACCCAAAGCAATCTACAGATTCAATTCAATCTTTATAAAAATCCCAACAGTTTTCTTTGTGGAAATGGAAAAGCCAATCCTCAAGGTCATATGGAACTGCAGGGGGCTCCAAATAGTCAAAACAATCTTGAAAAAGGATAAATTTGAAAGACTCACACTTCCAAATTTACAAATGCACTATAAAGCTATTTAGATCAATAGAACAGAATGAGAATCCAGAAATAAACTGATACATCTATGAGCAGCTGATTTTTGACAAGGATGCCAAGTCCATTCAATGGGGAAACAATAGTCTTATCAACAAATGGTGCTGGGACAACTGGATCTCCACATGCAAAAGAATTAAATTGGACCCCTAATTCACACTACATATGAAAATTAACTCAAAATGGATTAAGGATCTAAATATAAGAACTAAAACCATAAAACTCTTAGAAGAAAACATAGGAGTAATGCTTCAGGACCTAGTTTTTTACAACAGATTTTTAAATATGACACCAAAAGCATGAGCAACAAAAGACAAAATAGATAAACTTCATCAAATTTAAAAACTTTCGTGCATCAAAAAGAAAGTGAGGAAGCAACCTTACACAATGGGAGAAAACATATATCTCTAAATGGTTTAATATCCAGAATATATAAGGAATTTACACAACTCAACAGGAAAAACAAAACCCAATGAAAAAATGGACAAAGGACTTAAATAGACATTTCTCCAACGAAGATAGACAAATGGCCAATAAGCACATGAAAAGATGCCCAACATCATTAGTCATTAGGGAAAAGAAAATTAAAAACCACAATGAGGTATCACTTTATTCTTATTAGGATGGGTATCATCAGAAAAATGGAAAATGACCAGTTTTGGTGAGGATGTGGACAAACTGCTCATACAATGCTTGTGGGAATGAAAAGTGGTCCAGCACTGTAGAAAACAGTTTGGTGGTTCCTCAAAATATCAAACTACCATATGAGCCAGCAACTCTACTCCTAAATATATAGTTACTTCCAAAGCAGGAACTCAAATAGATATTTGTACACCAATGTTCACTGCAGCATTATTCACGATCACCAAAAGGTGGAAATAACCCAGATTGATCAGCAAATGAACAGATTAATAAAATGCGGTAAATACATACAATAGAACACTATTCATAAAGAGATGACATTTTAATACATGCTATCATATGGATGAACCTTGAAAACATTACGCTAAATGGATAACTGGCACAAACAGTTAACGCTCGGCCACTAACTGAAAGGTTGGAGGTTCAAGTTCACTCAGAGGTGACTGGAAAAGTCCTGGTGATCTACTTCTGAAAAATCAGCCACTGAAAACCCTACGGAGTACAGTTCTACTCTGAAACACGTGGGGTCATGTGAAGTGAAATAAGTCAGACTCAAAAGGACAAATGCTGTATGATTCCACTTATGTGAAATATTTAGAACAGGATATGCACAGAGACAAAAGTTTATCAGTAGTTAGCAGCATATGGGGGAAGAGGGAATGGGGAGTTACCGTTTAAGGGGTACTGGGTTTGTCTGGGGAGCCCTGGTGGCGCACTAGTTAAGAGCTTGGCTGCTAACCAAAAGAACAGCAGTTGGAATCCACCAGCAGCTCCTTAGAAACACTGTGGGGCAGCAGTTCTACTCTGTTCTATAGGGTCACTATAAGTCAGAACTGAACGGGTTTTCAGGTTTGCTCGGAAATGGGTAACTGCACAGCCTGGTGAATGGGATTCATGTTACTGAACTGTACACTTAAGACTAGTTGAAACAGCAAATTTGTTGTGATACATATTTTAACATAATGGGAAAAAAAATGTCTTCACAAGAGTTGCTAATAGGAATGCAGAAAGTTTACTGCTACTGTCGCTGCTTTAAAGATTGTTGAAAAACAGGCCAGAGTAGGGATGCCTCCCTTTCTGCACTAAACCAAATTTACTTCTTACATGTTAAGATGTGATATTAACATAAAATCGTAATAAAATATGACCTCCTGCTCATTTTGGGTTTCTAAATTACGAATAAAATCCGTCCCACTAAACGGAGGAAGTTCCCTGATAACGAAGCGTGCTTTACCTGCCACGACCCTCAAGCATTACGCACTGTGTTATTAGAGGTAGCAGGAGGCCGCCGCCCAGGAGGCAGTGTGGAGCTGGGCTTACTATACTCTTGTAGACCGGTTCAAAGCCTCCTACCCTCCCAAGCAGGCCGTGGGTGAGCCAGGCCAGGCTAGTGTCGATCAAGACCGCAAGGAGTTCAACTACTGCCGCCCGGTTTCACTAAGCCTGGCTGCCCGAAACGAAAACGAGCTACCCAAGGTTCAGCGCCGAGGTACGGGGCTGAGGAGTGGATCCAGCTGGCTCTATCCCGCCAAAGGCAACGTGCAAGTGCCCGCCCGGGCCCTCCCTGCTCCCCAGGCCGAGCCCTGGGCAAGCGCGGGGCACCGCGAGGCCTGAGGCGACCACGCGGGGCGGCGGCGGGAGGGAGTCGGGCAGCCCGGAGCCGCCGTCCCCCACCTTTGGGAAAGATCAACTGCGAGGCGTCCTCCTCCACGTCGCCAGCCCGCGGATCGCTGCCGCCCGCCGCCATCGCAGCACTGCAAGCCACTCAGGACGCCGCCGGAAGCGGAAGTGCGGAATCTCCCTCTGCGGTCATGGGGCGGGGTCTTGGGAAGGGGTGGGAGGTGACTGGATGTGGCGTGGCGTGGCCGGAGGCACACCACTGGAGACTACGGGCAAACGGGCGCTGCGGGGAATTACAACGATGGGCTCAAACTGAGGATCGCTGTGAGACAGAACAGACTCCGCGGCACCTAATAACAAGCAACCAGTGGTCCTGTGGGGGGTGCTCCACGGTGCTGGGGCCGTGAGACTCCTGGAGCCGGGCTCGCGCCGCGGAGGGGCGACCTGGTACCTCTGGCCTACGTCTGGAGAAACCACGCTCCCTTCCCCTTATCCAGTATCCCCTCGCTGCGCGTCCTTGGACAGGTAGGTCACTGTGTGAGCCTCAGCTTCATTACCTGTGCAGCGTGGATAAGGACACTACCCCCCAGGGCGGAGGAAAGGATGCGATGAGATACAGGAACGCGCTACCGGAAGGAGAACTGGGTAGGAGACTCCGAAGGCTTACGGTGGAATTTTTTAAAATGTTTTAAGCACTTTAAAAATTTGATTCATTTGTAGTGGATTATCTAATACTTCTTAGCACGTGGACAGTAATACTGAGAGAGCTTTAACACACCTGTTGGAACATCTGGATGATAAATAGAAAGTTAAACAAACAAAAAGATGTTATCTTCAAGTCCAGAGAAAACAAAAGGGTTGTGCAATAAAGGAAATGATCATAGTGCAATGCTTGACTCAGCAGTGAACAGTATTTAGTTAGTCATAACGTCAACTCTGATGTGTCTGTATTCTTTTACTTACAATAAAATTTGTTAGAAGATTGATTTGCTCTGTATCTGTATTTCCAGAAGAAATATATTGGATAAAGTAAGAGGTTATGTAGTATTGGTGTAGTCCCTGGGTGCCATAAATGGTTTGCAGTGGGCTGCTAACCTAAAAGTTGGTGGTTGGAAGCCACCCAGCTGCACCGTGGAACAAAGTCCTGGCAAACTGCTTCCATAAAGATTACAGCCAAGAAAACCCTATGGAGCAGTTCTACTCTGTAACATATGGGGTCACCAGGAGTTAGAATCAACTGGACAGCAATGGGTTTGGGTTTTGTGTGTGTATGTTTTAATTTGGTTACAGTATTGGCAGAGTTTTTTTTAGTATTTTCAAAGTGCTTTCCTGCACAGTTCATTAGAACCCCACAACAGATAACCTGATGAGAAGTGCATGGTCACACAGCAGCTGGGTGGCAGAAAAGGGTTTGAAATGCAGTTTCAGGTTCCAGTTCATTCTTACATCTGTCCATCCAGCAGGCCTTATGGAGCACCTGCTACTTGCCAGACCTTACTGTGTGCTGACCCAAGATCCATCTGGATACCTAACACTTGGAATCTTCTGCACACACACAGCAGACGGGAAGTCAACATGTGAAGAGAGAAGAACGAATAATAAATGATATGTATAGTGATGTTTCACAGATTGGTTTGTCCATGACACTTTCATTCAAGAAATCTTTATAAACACGTGAAAGGCCTTGGTGTTTTCAGTCACGGATCTTCCCCCCAAGATGCTCACAAAAAGTAGCTGATGTAAGACTTAGGCATTATTATCCATAATAAAAGAGAAAGTGGCAACTGGTATGAGGGAAAATAAAAGAAAGTGCTGTGGGAGGATATGGAGAAAAAGAAGCCACTTCTAGTTGAAGTGACAAGGTCACAGGAGGATTTGGGGAGGAACAGCATTGGTATTGTTTGAGAGATGGAGAAAAGTAACATGAATGAAATTGTCAAGTACGAAAGAGGAATATTCACTGTTTAAGGGAAATTCACATTTCAACTTTCTTAAATGTCATATTCATTGCATTATTTTTGGGAAGTGAAGGAGAATATGGTAATTACACAGACCTTTTATAAACATGGGTGGTGCAAACTGCACTTGGCTACTAACTGAAAGGATGGCAGTTCGAGTCCATGCAGCAGCACCATGGAAGAAAGGCCTGGCAATTGACTTCTGAAAGATCACAGCCATTGAAAATCCTGTGGACTGCAGTTTTACTTTCAAACACGAGTCGCAGTCAAAGGTAATGGGTTATTTGTGGTATACAAACTTGAAACAATGTTTGCTATAATAGTTTTTTCAATAATGTTGCTATATCATTTTTTCAATCAAAACAATAATAAAAATAAATAATTTTAAAAGAAAAAAACAAATTAATAGCAGCCTTTTTTAGGGCTTCTCAAAGAACACTTGTTGGCTGAATCCGTCACGTTTTCTGTCTGGATCCAGATGTTCTATCCCTAAAACAGAATGATGATTTTTCCCAGTTCTCCATATACTCAGTTTTTGAACGGAATTTCCCAATTTAAGATAGTCTTTCATAAATAAAAAAAAAAAATTGGCACCTGCTACTGGAAGTCTGCTGGTAAGTGCTACAAAGGAGGCCAATGGAATAAACAAGTGATTGTCTCCTGTTGTACCATTCACATGTAACCCTGTCCCTTTTGCTATTAATACAGTCCCTAGGGGTACAAAGGAGCCCTGGTGGCGCAGTGATTAAGAGCTATGGCTGTTAACCAAAAGGCCAGCAGTTCAAATCCATCACCTGCTCCTTGGAAAACCTATGGAGCTTTTCCAATCTGTCCAGTAGGGTCACTGAGTCGGAATCAACTCAATGGCAATGGGTTTGGTTTTTAGGGCTACAGAGGGATGAAGTATATGGGAGTTTGTGTGATTCTGCAAATAATCCCTTGGCTTCCAGGTACGAAAACCTCCAGAAAGTTTGGCCTGTATCAGTGTGACCTCCTGAGAGGGTATTCACTCCATTATGCTGGTGCCCACACTGTTGTTTACCTCTCAAGCCAGGTACTTTAGTGTCCACCTCTTTCAGGAAGCCTTCCCTGCCCTTCCACAGGCTGGCCTGAAGGGCTTATTACACCAGATTACGCCACCTCCTCTCTAGTGCCTTTGTTCTCAGCTGTCATCCAGTTGGCTCTGACTCATGGCAACCCCATACACAATAGAAGGAAACATTGCCTGGTCCTGTGCTATCTTCATGATCATCACTATGCTAGAGTCCATTGTTGCAGCCACTGTGTATTTTGAGAGCCTTCCAACCCTGGGGGCTCATCTTTCAGCACTGTATCAGAAAGTATTCTGTTGTGATCCACAGAGGTTTTATTTGCTAATTTTTGGAAGTAGATCACCAGGTCTTTCTTCATAGTCTGTCTTAGTCTGGAAGCTCCTCCGAAACTTGTCCACCGTGGATGACCATGCTGGTATTTGAAATTCCAGTGGTATAGCTTCCAGCATCATTGCAAGCCACCGTAGAATGACAAACTGACAGATGAGTGGTGGTTCTAGTGCCTAGAGAAGCTTAAGGTTCTGGAGGGTCTGACCCTTACCCAGTTGTTCCTATCTGCACCAAGCAGTAGATGACAGTCTGGATAACCACAGCCCTGCAGCCCTTCAGCTATTGTACCACTGTGCACCAGTTGCTGGAGCCTGGGCAAAGCATTTCCAATTTCTACTTTGGAAATTGAAATCCTGTCACAAAGCAGGAAATGTGGCTCGGAGTAGTAACTAGTTGTCTGGCTCATAAATGACAGGGCTAAGATTTGAGCTCAGACATATCAGACTCCAAGCCTGTGCTGGTTCCAGTTGTCAAACCCTGGATTACTTATTCGGTTGGGAGCCAGGGTTGATGGAAGAAGAGTGGGCACACTTGGAGCAGGGCTGACTCTGACTAGCTGCAGAGCTTTATTGAGTGAGAGGCTGAACTTGTCTTCTCTCCTGCTTCTTTTCCCCATCAACAGATAGAGCTGCAGTTTTGAGATTGGAGAGTCACTTGTTTTTCAATTTGCCTAGGCATACAGGACCTGTACACATAGAAACAGAGCAAGTGAGGAGCAGGAGAAACCCTTGGTCCTCTTCTGACAGCCTCATTTTACAGTGAGGAAAACTGAGACTGAGAAGGGCCAGGACTTGCAGCAAGTTGCCCTGTTCATTATGCTCTTCAGAACTATGGTTCTTTGTACAGTATTGATTCAGAAAGTCAACTTCCTTCAGCCAGCCTATTGAATAGTGTTTACAACACAAGATACTCAAGCAAACGTCACAGACCCTAGAATGATCTGGAAGCATCTTTAGAGCATCTCCCCTACCCTGAATCCTTCCCTGCAAAAATTAGCACCACCGAATGCAAAATGATACAACCATTTTGGAAAATATGGCGCTTCCTCAGAAAGCTAGAAATAAACATACCATTCGATCCAGCAATCCCACTCCTAGGAATATATCCTAGAGAAATAAGAGTCGTCACT